ATTAGCCAGGCATGGTAGCATGTGCTTGTGTAGTTCCAGCTACTGGGAAGGCTGAGGCAGAAGGATTGCCGGAGCCCAGCAGGTCGAGGCCGCAGTGGCTGGGGGCGGCCACTGCACTCCAGTCTGGACAACGGAGTGAGACTCCAACTCAAAAAAAAAAAAAAACCAAACCAAAAAAACCTGCTATTGCATTACAATTTAAATTTCCATCTTAATGTTCTCCAGTTGAAATAAAAGTTCCATTTAAACTTTTAAGTGACTGAAATATGTCGTGTTTTTTTATGGTGGGACTATAAATGAAATTCTCTTTGTTAGACTCATTATAATGATTTCATGAAAACAAAAAAATATATCTCTGTAACAAGGTGATACTAAAATGGAAAAAAATGTGCAGTGATTTTAGAACTTTGAATAGAAGTCATTAGGCATATAAACTTACTATATGAAAATTACCAATTTCTACTCTTGTACCTATAATTTTTATAGCATTTGATCATGCAAAATTGTATCTATAGGAACGTGTGCATTGCTAACATTGCTGAGATTTGTTTCAATGCTTCATCTTGCAACACGTGAGGTGGCAAGTGTTGTGGCCAGTCATTTCTTGAGCTACCTCAGACCAGCTCAGCTTTATAGTGTTTGTGGGTCACTTGGGAATAATCACGGAACAACTGATCAGATTTACCATGCAATACTTGGTTGATTTCTTGGTGGGTGATTGTTTGCCATGACAATTTCCATGTACAAAACTTTTATTAATATCCTTGGCTAGCATTAAACAATGCTGCTGAAGTTGGGGCCTCAGATAGCAAGGGCTGAGATCTTCCTTGACCTGAAAGAGAACTTTCTGAGAAAGTCAACATATGAAGAGAAAGGCATAGTTTCACTCATGCACTGAGGACTACCATGCAAAGGAAGGGACTCACTCAAAGGGAATGTCTGCTGCTGGTGATATGTTAGGTGTGCACTGATTTACATTTCCCAACAGAGACCTAGATCTAAGCTTTGAATTGCAACATAGCGTTAATTGTATTGTGTAATTAACTATACTGAAACCACAATGATCTTGTATTCGCAGTCATTTATGCTAAATGTGTCTTAAAATGTTATGATGAGTGAATGAATAATGCTTTAGTTGGGCAAAATGGTAAAATGAACATCTCCTTACCCTTTGATCCACTTCTAAGATTCATTTCTAGGGTTTACAGCCAGACTTCTTCAGCAGATTAGTCTAAGGTCTTAAATACATTTTTTTTCACGCAAAGGAAAATCACTAAAATTATAATTTGATATCGACTATTCAATATTATTCCAATTTCTCTTCTTGGAGGATAATGAATACATGCTGGGAAGAACTACTCATGTTGTTAACACCGTTTATGTATTTTCATACATCATCAGTGTGATTAGGTCTCCACTTGTAGAAGTGTTAAGAAGTTTGCAAGGATCTGTGTTTAGGCTTCTCTATTTGGTGAAGAGATAGCTCATTACCCCATGCACATGTTGAGTTTTAGTTGTAGATGAACTCAGAATTATCAATGTTAAATTTGCTGCCGAAAGAAGCCAGCCTTCCCATTCTGAAGGTCTACAGATTCCCCAAGACTTTTGTAACAAGTTTCTTTAAAATTCCCCAAACACTCCACAGTCTTCCATTTTTGTCTCCATACACTCTGCTGGTCTCAGTACACACCTAATGTGGGTCACCTTCCACTGGGGCACAGGGTCATCCTTATGCCCTTGCCACTGCACTAAGAGGAGAAGGAATAAGGTTGTGGATTTCAAAGAAAAGAAGTCTGCCCACCTGACTTCAGTTATCTTGTGATATATCTGTAGTGGGAACACTGGCCTGGGTGTGTAGTGTAGCTATTGCTTAGCTACACTTATCAGGGACATACAGAGGAGGAGGATCAGTGGAGATGACTAGTGAACGTGAATAGGGTCAACAAGACATTTTTTTTGCTAATGAAGTTGCTTTTTTAGACTCTTAGATATATGACAATCTATATGAGTCTCCCACATCAAGCCATATGTCCCATAAAAGACATAATTCTGAAGAAAATATTGGAATACTAGGGGTCTGCATCTTGATCTTATTCTCCTGTCTTTGCATTTTGACTTTGTGTCTAGGTATAAGGTGCAAGTTGTAATCCTGTTCATGACTTTGACTCTGACACATCCATGGATCCTGGCTAAAGGAAGCCCCTCTATATTGAGTAGTGAAGCTTCCTTTCTGATGCCAGGGTGCTTGTCTTACCTGAAGAACTTCAACATCATGCTTGCTTTCCGTGTTTGTGTGCCTGTGCCTCACTGCTTTGAGGGAGCACTTCGAACCTTATTCCATGCATGAGTCACCCAGGGATGGAAACATCAATAGATGTTCCTTAGAAACACGCTGTCCTGGGGTCAAGCAGTGCTTCGGGAGTCCATGTAGTTCACCTCTGCTTCCAGCAGGAGAAGCCCTGACTGAATTTACCTAGATGTCTTTGGAGTCAAACAGTAAATACTAAACTAGATAGGTAGATAGACCACCTTCTATTAGAACAATGATTCTCAAACTTTTAAAATCTGAGGACCACTTAATACTCTTATAAATTACTGAGGGCCGGGCGCTGTGGCCCACGCCTATAAGCCCAGCACTCTGGGAGGCCGAGGTGAGAGAACTGCCTGAGTCCATGGGTTCGAGACCAGCCTTGGCAACTTGGCGAAACCTCATCTCTACAATAAATCAAAAAATTAGCCAGGTGTGGTGGTGCGTGCCTGTAGTTCCAGCTACTTGGAAGGCTGAGGTGGAAGGATCGCCTGAGCTCAGCAGGTCGAGGCTGTGGTGGACGTGAGCATGCCACTGCACTCCAGCCTGGGCAACAGAATGAGACTCCAACTCAAAAAAAAAAAATTACTGAGGACTAGGGAGGGCTATTTTAAAAAATATGGATTATATCTCTCAGTATTTATCAAGCTAGAAATTAAAACTGGAAACATTTTGAAATGTGTACTTACTAATTTAAAATAGCAATACTGTAACCATTATATATTAATAACAGGTTTTCATAAAAAATAATAACTGTTTTCTAAAGCAAAAAATGTAGGGAGAAGAGTAGCACTGCTTTTTCCTTTATGTAAATTTGGTTTAATAGAAGACATGTCATACAGCCTTGTGGAAACTCCATTGTATGTTTGAGAGAGATAAAGAGTGAAAAAGACAATAATGTCTAAGTATTATTAGACATAATAGTGTCTAATATTATTAGGAAAGTTTTGACTTCATGGACCCCCCTGCCAAAAGGGTCTTAAGGACTGCAAGGAGTCAAGGGACAACACTTTGGAAACTGGAGCATTAGAATTAAAGAGCTCTGGCTGGGTGTGGTGGCTCAAGTCTGTAATCCCAGCACTTTGGGAGGCTGAGGCAAGAGAGTTGCCTGAGCCCAGAGGTCCGAGACCAGCCTGGGCAACTTGGTGAGACCTCGTCTCTACAATAAATCAAAAAATAAGCCGGGTGTGGTGGCATGTGCCTGTAGTTCCAGCTACTTGGAAGGCTGAGGCAGAAAGATTGCCTGAGCCCAGCGGATTGAGGCTGTGGTGGCTGTGAGCTTGCCGCTGCACTCCAGCCTGGGCAGTGGAGTGAAACTCCAACTCAAAAAAAAAAAAATAAAGAAAAAGAAAAAAAGACTGGGTGTGGTGGCTCACACCTATAATCCCAACATTTTGGGAGGCCAGGGCGAGAGGATTGCCTGAGCCCACAGGTTCAAGACCAGCCTGGGCAACTTGGTGAGACCTCGTCTCTGCAATCAATAAAGAAAATTAGCTGGTCATGGTGGCGCATGCCTGTAGTTTCAGCTACTTTGAAGGCTGAGGTGGAAGGATCACCTGAGCCCAGCAGGTCAAGGCTGTGGTGCCGTGAGCATGCCACTGCACTCTAGCCTGGGGACAGAGTGCGATGCCAACTCAAAAAAAAAAAAAAAATTTAAAGAACTCTAAGACATGACCAGATGCCCACTTCCTGCTATCTTCACTTGACCAGGCTATTTTTTAAAAAGTTGTTCTTTGTTTTTAACTGAAGCTGTTTTCTCTTTTAATTCCCATATTACTTATTATACTGCTTATATGGCATGGGTAGCCTTGCATTCTAGTTATCTTGTCTTGATATCTTCCCAAAGAGATTGCCAACTCAGAGAAGGAGGAACTCTGTGGATCCTGTAACACTTTGTAGAGTGTCTTACACATAGAAGATATGTGTTAGTCACAAAACCAACTGCTACTGTTTATTTAATTTTTTAATTTATTTTTTTGAGTTGGAGTCTCACTCCATCTCCCAGGCTGGAGGGCAGTGGCATACTCACGCCACCCCAGCGTCGACCTGCTGGGCTACAGAGAGCCTTCCACCTCAGCCTTCCAAGTAGCTGGAACTACAGGCACGCGCTACTACGCCCGGCTAATTTTTATTTTATTTATTGTGGAGATGAGGTCTTGCCAAGTTGCCTGGGCTGGTCTCGAACCCTCGGCCTCAGGCAATCCACTTGCCTTGGCCTCCCAAAGTGCTGGGATTACAGGCTGAGCCACCGAGCCCTGCCTGCTACTGTTTATTAAGCACTACTATGTGCTGAACATCCTGCTTAGTGTATGAGTTTCTGAGACCTATTGTAACAGCACCACAAACTAGGTGGCTTAAGATAACAGGTTTATTTTCCTAAAAGTCTTGAGACTAGCACTTTGAAATTAAGATGCCGGCAGGGTCATGTTCTCTGAGGCGCATCTGTTCCATACTTTTTTCTTGGCTTCTGGTGGTACTGGCAATTCTTAGCATCCCTTGGCTTATAGATGTGTGGTTCCAATCTCTGCTTTCACAGTCACATGGCACGCTCCCAGTGTCTCCTCAGATCTTTTCTCTGTGCGTGTCTATTTCTGTTTCTTTTCTCTTATTCTTATAAGGACACCAGTCATACTGGATTAAGTATTGATTTAGGGCCCACCTAACTCCAATATGACCTCGTCTTAACTAATTACATATTAATTTAAAAATATGAAAAACCCCATCTCCACATAATTTCTCATGCACAGGTTCTGGGGATCAGAACTTCAACATACCTTTTGGGGATGCACAATTCAGCCCAAAACACTTACTAAATATTAGATGGAATCAAGAAAACTGCTATGATTTGACTGTTTTTGATCGAGAAAAGTTTCAGTTTTGTATCATTTTATTGAAATCCTAATTGAAACAACATGTGATAAATAAAACCAACTGATTTTGATTAGTGCTCTCAGCTTTTCTGACCACTTGCTGAAGAAGAGGCATGACCACTGGGCTCCTGACAATGGCTGTTGTGTCTGAGTATGTCCAAGACTGGAGGTTCTGGGCAGAACTGTATGTCATCTGCCTTAGGTCATTTGCCCGGAGGTTTCTTCACAACTGGCTTTCTCTTTAATTTACAGAAAGTTCCTTCCTCTCTTTTGCCCAGACTATTATTTTGTTGAAATAGAATTCTTATTGTTTTGGTAGAATGTTTCAAGAACTCTTTAAAGATACTTAAGATACTAACCTCTGTCTTGTCTTTGCTTCCAGGCCCACAATGGATGCCCTGCAACTGGCAAATTCGGCTTTTGCTGTTGATCTGTTCAAACAACTTTGTGAAAAGGAGCCAGTGGGCAATGTCCTTTTCTCTCCAATCTGTCTCTCCACCTCTCTGTCACTTGCTCAAGTAGGTGCTAAAGGTGACACCGCAAATGAAATTGGACAGGTAAGCACCATGCTTTGCTTCTGCTTTAAGTGGGAATACAGTTATTAGAGTGCATATGCAGTGCTTAGGGAAAAAAAAGGAATAAAGACTCTGTGACCAGAATTGCTCAGAACTGAGAATTATGCCATTTCCAGGACTCTTTTAATCTATTTTTAGATGTGGAAGCTCATTTATGTGTCCTGAAGCCCATGTTTATTTATTTCTTTTAATCTTATTATTTTAAAGATGTGGGGTACAATTCAGAGTTAGGTACATATGTGGTCATTGCACAGGTAAAGTTTGGGCTTCCCTTTTGTCCTCACTTCTCCTTGTTTGAGATCGGGTACGCTTATGGATGCTGTGTGCTCCCACCCCCTGACCCCAGCAGTGCCACGTTTATTTGTAATTTTAATTTTTTTACAGAGGGAGGGTCTCGCTATGTTGCCAAGGCTGGTCTTGAACTCCTGGCTTCTAGTGATCCTCCTGTCTTGGTCTCCTAAAGTGCTGGGATTACAGGTATGAGTTACCGTGCCCAGCCTTTTAAAATTTCTTTCTTTCTTTCTTTCTTTTTTGAGTTGGAGTCTTACTCCATGACCCAGACTGGAGTGCAGTGGCATGCTCATGGCTACCCCAGCGTCAACTTGCTGGGTTCCAGCGATCCTTCCGCCTCAGCCTTCCAAGTAGCCGAAATTTTAGGCACATGCTACCATGCCTGGCTAATTTTTGATTTATCTTAGAGATGAGGTCTTGCCAAGTTGCCTGGGCTGGTCGCGAACTTGAAGGCTCAGGCAATCCACTTGCCTCGGTCTCCCAAAGTGCTGGGATTATAGGTTGAGCCACCAAGCCCGGCTTAAAATTTCTTTAAGAAATTTTTTTTTCAAACACATGTTTAGAACAGGGACCAGGCTGTGAAGGAGAACACAGAAATCTGCCAGGTAATCATAGGTTTTTCATTTTGACTTACAATACTTTCACTTTATGATGCGTATATTGGAATACAACCTCATCATAAATCAAGGAGCATCTGTATTATTTTAGGGTTCCTTTTGGGCTATGGTTGATAATCTAGCTTTGTAAAGTTCCTAGACTTTACAATGAGATGATTTTTCTGATTGTTCATTTTAAGTACTCATGAACTTTCAGATACATGAGGTGAATATTCTAATTCCATTCCATTATTATTATGTTGAGTGTTTTAGGTTCAATATTATCTTTTTTTCATGCTTATAAGCATTTAAAAGGGGTACACCTTCTCAACCTTCTTGTATCTATAAATCCCCAGAAAGTATGACCCACCAAATGTTGTTTAGGTCAGGCTGAAGAATTTACACTTGAGACTTGAAGAAATAGCTTCAGTCCTGAGAAGATATGTTTTTCTCATCCATTCTCATCTCTGAACTTCCAACCCCTAAATTCCTATCTCATCTCCCATTCATCATTTCTCATCTCCCATTAGAGAAAGGCCAGAAAAAGAGAATTTCCTGGGAGTGGGTCTGTTCTTCAATAATAACAAAAACAAATTTTTTAAGTACCTGCAATTGGTTCCCAATAGTAGTTACCAGGGCTCTTTAATTTTCTGGTCTCCTTTACCCATCATTAGGCAGGAAAGTTATGCACTACCTGGGACCAGCCAATTTGACCCTGCAATGCTGAGGCTATGTGATTCACTGGTGCAATGTGCTAGTTTGATAGCGTTTCCTGAGGTGTGGCATCAGGGAGTGGCCATTATGAGTTATGGAGTGAGGACAGAATCATCTTATGCTGACATCACATTCTGTGGCACCACAAAGCAGAGAAGTACTGGATTATTACTGTTGGGCACACACACAAAAGGGCCAAAATGAAAGAATTTAAGCCCTCCAAATGATAGCATCCTGGTTTTATTTTTTTTTATTTTTTGAGTTGGAGTCTCACTCTGTCACCCAGACTGGAGTGCAGTGGCCGCTCCCGGCCACCACAGACTCGACCTGCTGGGCTCCGGCGATCCTTCCGTCTCAGCCTTCCAAAGAGCTGGAACTACAGGCGCGCGCTACCACGCCCGGCTAATTTTTGGATGATTGTAGAGGTCTCGTCAAGTTGCCCAGGCGGGTCTCGAACCCGCGGGCTCAGGCAATCCACCCACCTCGGCCTCCTAAAGCGTGGGATTACAGGCTGAGCCACCGAGCCTGGCTGCATCCTGGTTTTAAACGGCTTAGAATGTAAGCATAATAATTAGCAATTTAAATTCATCTGATTTTTTAGGTACTTTATATACATGTACTCCTCATAAGAACTCAGAGAAGAAGGCCTTATCGGTCTATTTTAGGGTCCATTTAACTGAAGTGTTAGACAAGATTACATTTCTAGTAAGTGGAGGCAGACATTCCAAGGCAGTGCAGTCTGACTCTAGCCCTCCTGGGACAGCCCACCATTTATTGTAGCTGCCTGTCAGAAGTGACACATGAATTCTTCTAGCACTCGTTAAAGCATCTACAGGGACTAGATAGACTCTGGCTAGAGAGGCACCCCCGTCCTCAAATCTGATACTTGTCTAGTGACGGTCACTTATGGTATTAATCTCTCTCTTCTGGTCTCTAAATTGGAAATAAATTATAACCCCGTTTCATCTTTTTCCAGCTTTGGAAATAATTCTCTGTGAGTATTAAAGGCATCACTTTGAAGAAAGGACACATTTTTCCCTACAGTTAATTAGGAACAGTATCTTTATGGTAGTGTTTGTCAACTGGGAGGATGTTGTCCTCCCTTCACACTCTAGGGACATTTAGCAATGTCTGGAGGCATTTTTGGTTGTCACAAATAGAGGGAGGATGCTACTGGCATCTAGTAGGTCAAGGATTATCCAGCCCGGAATGTCAGTAGTGCTGAGGCTGAGAAGCCTTGCTTTATGGGAATAACTGGGCAGGGAGATTTCTTATACCCTGAGGAGGTTGGCGAGTCTCATGTGTCCACTTCGGTGGGAAGAGGCGATGCTTTCTGGATAACGGATTTTTCTCTTATTAGGTTCTTCACTTTGAAAATGTCAAAGATGTGCCCTTTGGATTTCAAACAGTAACATCAGCTATAAACAAACTTAGCTCCTTTTACTCATTGAAAGTAATTAAGCGGCTCTACGTAGACAAATCTCTGAATCCTTCAACAGTAAGTTGTTAAAGAAATTAACAAGATTTAACTTTTTACCGGGAGTGGCATTTTCACATCGTTAGACCTGCCACTTTTTTCAGTGAAATTCATTTCTAGGATGTTTGTTAATGATTTGAAATCATTTAAAAAAATAAATACGTCGTAGTGGAGAAGCTAAATATAATGGGAATCAATTGTGGCCACATCTTCCAACTCAGCACTAACTTCTAACTCTGAATGTAGAGGAGCTTGTGGGCTTTCGTTTTCCCTCTCAAACACTCAAAAACCTTACCCTTTCTTCCTCTGAGAGAATGGAGTAATTAACTCTCAAATAAATTTATCTGCATAAACAAGGAGTGCAAGGCAGCTTGTTTGAAACTTCTTTCTTCTTAAACAGCAGGGTATATGACCTAAGACAGTGTTTTAAGCTCTCTACTTCATTTGTTTATGTTCTCTTGCTGTTCCTCAAAATCAGTAAGAAAAATAATGACTATGAACTAGCAGTTTTCATCCTTCACAAACTGGTTTTGTTTGTTTTACTAGCCTGGTCAGATGGGTATCTATACAAGGCAGCTCTGGTTATTTATGTTCAGCCATTTATTGAAGGTATTATACAAATAACACTGTGTACCTCGACATTTGGCCCCAGCGTATATCATAATATTTTTAAAAATCTGTATTTGAAAAACATTCTCTCTACTTTAGTCGTAATAGAGTTGATTTAGTTCCAGTTTGTATGGTAGGAATTTCAGGCTTTTCAAATCTAAAAGATGGTCTACTAGCTAAATATTATACCACAATGGTACACTTTCTGCAGTTGGTATTTGTTTTTGTGGTTGAGATCTTTTGAAAACATGGTTACTAGATATTGTGAGTTTATTTTTGTTGCCCGAGGCACATATATACAACCGTTTTTGTTCCAGTAATCACCTGGTAAAAAAGCAAATATGTCAGTGGAGGTTTGGGAATTCTAAAAGGTCCCTAAGTGGTCCTTAAGGAAATGATGAATATATTTTTGTTGATGGCAGTGAGGACAATGGAGTTCCTTCATCTTCTGATGTTCCTAGGTGCTGCTCTCTCAGTCAATGACAATAGTCCCACATTGGTTTGCAGCATACTGAAACTAAGTTAATTGGTTAAGGCTGTAACTGTTCTGAAGAAATTCAAGAAGCCCTGTGCTTAGAAGTGAAGTGAGACAACATTTATTCAAGTTATGTTTAGTTTGGTTGAACTTCTATTCAACACTTGGAATTATTTCAACCAGACTAGAAGTTGTAAAGATTTTTATGTTTTTTTTTTTTTTGAGTTGGAGTCTCACTCTGTGGCCCAGGCTGGAGTGCAGTGACACACTCTCATGGTCACTGCAGCCTTGACCTGCTGGGCTCAGGTGATCCTTCTGCTTCAACCTTCCAAGTAGCTGGAACTACAGTTGTGCGCCACTGCATCTGGATAATTTTTTGATTTACTGTAGAGACGAGGTCTCACCATGTTTCCAGGCTGGTCTCGAACCTCTGTGCTCAGGCAATTCTCTTGCCTCCGCCTCCCAAAGTGCTGGGATTATAGGCGTGAGCCACTGTGCCTGACTGTAAAGATTAAAAAAAAAAAACTTCTTTCAATTGCTTATGCTGTTATGTTGTGTAGGATCTGCATGTTTACTAGTTAATAGTACAAACAAGGGTGGTCTGTGGAGGACTGTTTGCATCAGAACTACTGGACTGTTAAAAGGGCAAATTCAGGTGGTCACAGTGACTCACCCCTGTAATCCCAGCACTTTGGGAGGCAGAGGCGAGAGGACTGCCTGAGTCCAGGGGTTTGAGACCAGTCTGGGCAACATGGTGAGACCTTCTTTCTACAATAAATCAACAAGTTAGCTGGGTGTGGTGGTGCACCCTGTAGTTCCAACTATTTGGAAGGCTGAGGTGGAAGGATCGCTTGAGACCAGCAGTTTGAGGCTGCGGTAGCTGAGGGCGTGCCAGTGTACTCCAGCCTGGGTGATAGAGTGAGACTGACCAAAAATAAAAATAAAAAATAAAAAAAAAATTCTTAAATCAAGATCAATGGGAATAGGATTTAGAGTCTTACATTTTTAACAAGCATTAGAGTTAGAACTACGTCTATATTCTCTACAGTATTGTGTTTCCAACTTTAATATGCAGATTAGACACCTGAAGATATTGTAAAAAGGCACATTCTGATCCAGTAGTTCTGGAATGGGGCCTGAAATTCTTCATTTTTAACAAGGTCCCAGCTGATGGTGCATACTATGAATGGCAAGGGTCTATAAAATAAGTATTCTATGTAAATACATATTTATTTTGGTTAGGATAAGAGTTTTCTACTTATCGGTATCTTTTCTGTATGTTTCCCCATTCTAATATATATGTGTATGCATATACATAATATTTTAATGTTTCTGGAATCCATCTTATAATTGGATATATTTAATGCAGTGTTTCTTTGGTTTTCCCAAAGGTGATACTAAATTGTTGGATACATTTAACAACTGAAATTGTCTTAGAATTGGAAATATAAAACGTTCAAAAAAAGGAAATCCATTGGTTTCTACATGAGGTTTCAATTCATATAGTGTTACCAATTTTGAAAGTGTTATCCGTGGTAATAATATTTAAGAATCTTTTAGTTAGGACAGTATCATGCAATAGCTTGACTACAGAAGAACTTCGTGATTTTTTTCTTGAAAGAACGTTGTGATTTTATGAACTGCATGTTTTTCAGGAGTTCATCAGCTCTACAAAGAGACCTTATGCCAAAGAAGTGGAAACTGTTGACTTCAAAGATAAACCGGAAGAAACGAAAGGGCAGATCAACAATTCAATTAAGGATCTCACAGATGGTGAGTACCCTTTACTTGTTTTGCTATAAATAGCCAAGTAGACAGAGCTTTCTCATGAATCTTGCTCCAAGTACCAGGAAACAACATCTGGAGAATTCTTGGATATTTTTAGTACACAAGCTAAATTCTTGCCTGTTAAGCCATGTCAGCAACTGGGATTCCTGGGCATTTCTTGCATCCTCTCATCACTGGCAGATATTGCTGGGGCTTCAGTTTTAGCCTACCTTGCCTGGCTCTCTGACAAGCTGCCACATGCCCTAGTGGAGCTCCAGCTGTGCCTCTAACGAAGGAGGACTCTGGGCAGATCATGAGGCCAGTTTTGCAGTCTGGAAATAGAGGAGCTGGTCCCTAACTTCATGATCCTGGAGACAGCTTCCGGCCCAAGAGTTCTACACATTTATGAAGAAAAAAGGACAAAAGGTCTTAAGCAGCATACATAGAGAAACAGAACAAAACAAACCGTCGTGTCCTCGGCACCACAGCTCCCAGTACTGGCCGGTCCTCTGACAGCACTGGGCTCTCTAGAGGCAGCGCCTGGCCCATCCTGCCTTGGGCTCGGTGCTGTCTCCTGACGTCTCCCTTCTCGGAATCTTTCTCCATCCGTTAAAATCCCCAGTGAACCATCTTCCTTGCTAGAATAGAATGGGAGCTAAGATGATTTTGAGCGCCAATCAGTGGCCATGTGCCCCTTCCCAGGGGACATATTTGTATTTGTGTAGGTAGAGATTTGCTGGGAAACGGCACCTGATCATTAAGGAATGATTTTTACGACAGTCACTAGTCTACGGAGGGATACACTTCTGGGGCAAAGGAGACCGACTTCCTGTGAGGATGACCTTACCCCAGTGCTGTCTTCTCCCTGGGTTGATTCACAGATGATACGGTCTATCCGGGCAGTGACTGCAGCGTGAGGACATAGAAAGAACAGGGAGTTTGGAGTCATTTAGAACCTAGGTTCAAATCCAGACACTGCTACTTATCAACTGTGGTATCTGGGCAGGGAGTCTCAGTTTATTCGAGTGTAAAATGCAGCATGCATTACCTGATTTATTAAAAAAAATTTTTTTTTTTTTGAGTTGGAGTCTCACTCTGTCACCCAGGCTGGAGTGTAGTGGCATGCTCATGACCACCGCAGCCTCCACCTGCTGGGCTCAGGCGATCCTTCCACCTCAGCCTTCCGAGTAGCTGGAACTACAGGCATGCGCTACAATGCCCAGCTTATTTTTTGATTTATTTTAGGGATGATGTGTCACCAAGTTGCCCAGACTGGTCTTGAACCCCTGAACTCAGGCAATCCTCTCATCTCGGCCTCGCAAAGTGCTGGGATGACAGGCTTGAGCCACCGCACCTGGTCTCTGATTTAATTTTTTATGTGGTTGTTGTGAGGATCAAATTAGGTAATATATACCAACAAATGGTAGACATAGATATATAAACACATCCATGCATATGTACATATATATGTATGTTAAATATATACATGTATATTTAAATATATACATATATTTATACATATTTGGTATTGAAATGAAGTTTCTTTGGTTTCAGATGTAAAAGAAACTGGTATAAAGTAATGTCAGGTTAAGCACAATTGTAAAAAGTAAGCAAAAGCAGCTCCTGTTTAAATTGCTGTGTAATTTGTTTTGCTTTTCGAATTGCTGCATAATTGTATTTTCTCTCAAAGAGGCTTTTATTGTAAAATCTGAGTACATTTAAGGTTTTGACTGAGGAAGATAGTTTAGTGAAAAGACTTCTAAATTTGAAATCAGAAACTCAGGATTTAAGTGGAAGCTTACTGGCTCCCATATTTCTTTGTTCTTTAAGTTTCTTCAATAACACTAATACATATTCAGCATATCATATAGCATTGACAGGACCAGCTACATGATTTCTGTGGTCCAGTTCAAACATGAAAATTATTAACCTTACTAACCAGGAAGGCTGCATGCAAATATCAGAAGTAGTTTGGAGAATAACCCTGCTGTTTGTGTTTTTCTAAAATGGTTGCAGGCCGCTTTGAGAACATTTTAGCTGATGATGGTGTGAATGACCAGACCAAAATCCTTGTGGTTAATGCTGCCTACTTCGTTGGAAAATGGATGAAGAAATTTCCTGAATCAGAAACAAAAGAATGCCCTTTCAGAGTCAACAAGGTATGTGGGGCAGAATGTACTGGTAAATGGATCCCAATTATAGATCTGAAAAACAATAGCAACAAAGGGGCATAGCAATTCATTCCAGTAAGGAATCTGAGGGCACTGGAGGCAAAGAGCCTTTCTTGGAATGTACAGCAGTCGGTAAGTAGTAGAAAAGAACCGTGATCCCTGGAAGACCCTTCCTTACTTTTCCAAGAATGTCTTCAAGGGTCTGAGTTGAGTGAAACTTTATAGAATTTATAACACAGTGGGGAAAACTAAATCAGCTGAAAAGTAGCTACAAATATTTGTACCTTAATCAAGAAAGAAAAAGAAAAGAAAACATAAATAACTGCTACTATCAGAAGCTTTGGAATTATTATGAGACTTGTACTATTTAGGAGTCTTGCTCCTGATGGATTAACTTCATAATCTCTTTTCTCACCTACTGATAGTGAGGTACATGGTTCTGGTTTTTTGTTTTTCTTTTTTTTTTTTTAAAGTAGAATTTATTGAGAGGACAGGAAAGTTCCCACAGTGGGAGGGGACCCGAGAGGATTGCCCGGTTCTGGTATTTTAACTTATAATTTATAAGATGCTTTGAGGCACTTGTTGGCTGTGGGAAAACAAGTATAGCTCACTCATCTACATCATTGAGAGTCATTATGAGGATGAATTAGAAGCCTGTTTTGCAGGCCGGTCTCATTAATACTATTGAGGTAAACGTCAAAGATAGTTAATCAAAACAGGTAAAATACCTCTGTTGTAAGTGAAACCAAAGAACTGAGACTGGAATTTTGACCCATTTCATTACAGAACCTAGGAAACCCTAGGAATCTATATTATAATGTGATGTGGTCTTATATACTGGGATCTGACTTGTGATAAGAACTCAGGCTTAAAACTCTCCTTCAGTGAGCACAGTACTTGAAGGTAACTTATTTACCTTGTAGTTCCTGTGCATCGGTTCTACTTTTCATGTTTCTTCTACAACCTAGAGTACCTAGCATCATGGATCTTGCCACAATAGTAACACATTCTTAATGCTAGCACCCAGGAGGAAAAGCACTTCAAGATACAATCTATACCTGGGTCAGCTGGGCTGGCTTCCATTACTCTTTCTTTGTTCCCATGGAATTTTTATTCTTACTGTCCCCCCTCCCCACCCAAGTGTGGTTTCCGTAGTGAAATATAACTACCTATCTGAATCCCTACTACTTACTGTAAGGACTTTTTGAGGGCAGGGAAAATGTCTTATTTATCCCAGTGTCTACTATTCCTGGCCACATGCCTGATATATTAGTAGGTGCTCAGCAAATTTGTTGAATCAATGATCAATTCCTTAGGGTCACTTTGATTAAACAATAAATAGCAGACAAAAACCCATGATTAAATAGTTAATAGCAGACAAAACCTGGCTGGTCTTTGCGACTACCATGAGTCCCTATGCACGGTCCATTGGGCATTTCATTTTATTTTAAAGAAGGATCTGTTGAGAGGACAGGAAAGCTCCTACAGTGGGAGGGGACCCAAAAGGGTGACCCCATTGGGCATTTTAACTGGGAGAGGAATAATAACTGTTATTGCTCCTTACCTACCCAAAATATCCGTGGGTGCTGGGGAAGGGGAAGCCAGGAGGTCCTCTTTCCACTTTCTCTTCCCAAGCTCAGCTTCTAAACTGCAGTGGTCTTCTTAAAGCTGACTGCAGGGACGAAACTGACATTGCACGCAGGTGTCATGTCTGATTCTAGGAACACAACTGTAGACTCTTCAGACTGTATTTTTCATGTACAGGTTTTTTGATTTTCAAACTTTTTGACCTTTTTAGTCTTGTCTTTTATCTGGAGCTGAAGTGGAAAGTGTCTGTGAGTCGGGGAGCAGGGTTTGGTCCCAGTGTTCCTGACAGTGTCCTCTAGTTCATGTGATCAGAGGTTGAGTCTCCTCTTTGGGAAGGACTGGCAAAGAGTCCCTAACGATGTTTAAGTGAAATCTGAAACATGTTGCTAATGGTGCCTCTTCCCAAGACCCCAGGGCCAGCCCAAAGGGAACATAATAAACATGTTGCAATAGTCAGTAAGTAGAATATGAACTTTCATGTCAACCATTCTAAGGTTATTGTTTTTGCATTTATGAAAGTGTTAATGGGTGTCTTTTAAGAAGGGAAGAAGAATGTGTGCTATTCATTTATTCTTGTTATTAAATCATAAAGTTAGATTGTATCAGATCCTGAAAATTCAGACTCTATAAACAGACTTAATAAGGATTTGGAATATCATTCATCTCTCAGTGTTTCACTTAATTAAGCAATAAAATGCATTGGGCTACACCCTTCTTTTGAACGAAGATGCTATTATTATTATTTTAGATTCCTTTAAATTGCTTTGGTCAGCCCATGAACTTTTTGAGTGACATTAGTAAATGCTTACTCGTGTACTGTGGTGTCTCCTTGAAGAGTTAGACTAAACTAGTAAAGTTATATTATTAAAGGTTTAGTACAGTACCTATTTTTTTTTTTTTGAGTTGGAGTCTCACTCTGTCACCCAGGCTGGAGTGCAGTGGCACGCTCCCAGCCACCACAGCCTCAACCTGCTGGGCTCAGGTAATCCTTCTGCCTCAGTCTTATAAGTAGCTGGAACTACAGACATCAGTCACCACACCCAGCTAATTTTTTAATTTATTGTAGAGATGAGGTCTCGTCAAGTTGCCCAGGCTGGTCTCAAACCTGTGGGCTCAAGCAGTCCCCTCACCTTGGCCTCCCAAAGTACTGGGGTTATAGGTATGAGACACCACGCCTGGCTTTACTGTACCTATTCTGACAAAGATATATTCATATATATGTATACTTGTATATGTATTTTGATGTATTTTCTGGGATAGTTTTTATTTCGTCCTCTTTTCAGAAGGTATGTCTCAACTTGTGTTTCAGAAAATGTATTATTGTGCCCATAATCAGTGCTGGTAAGCAAAATTGATGACAGTTTTTGGAGGCCACAACTATACACACATTCAGAAACTATTAGCCGTCTAACCTGATAAAGATTTCTAGAAACGTTTCTTTAGGATAAATATTTTTTAGATTATTTCTTCTTTAGGAGAAATAAAAACCTATCAGTTAATTTAATTTAATTTAATTTAATTTTTTTTTGACCTGGAGTCTCACTCTGTCACCCAGACTGGAGTGCAGTGGCATACTCATGGCCACCACAGCCTCAACCTGCTGGGCTTAGGCGATCCTTCTGCCTCAGTCTTCCAAGTAGCTGGAACTACAGGCATGAGCTACCACATGCAGCTTATTTTTTGACTTATTGTAGACATGAGGGCTCATCAAGTTTTCCAGGCTGGTCTCAAACCCCTGGGCTCAGGCAATCCTCTCGCCTCGGTCTCCCAAAGTGCTGGGATTACAGGTTGAGCCACCATGCCTGGCCAGTTAATTTTAAAAGTAGCATGTTTTTCTATTATCATCCTGTTTCTGGTTAGAGAATTGAAGTCTTTATTTTTCAACCATATATTTAGTGAGCATCTGCTATGTGCTAGGATATAACAAGATACTAAGATATGGTTTCTGCTTTGACTATATTCTAGCTGGGTTGGGAAGTAGAAAGACAATCACATAAATAATAATTCTATCCCTGTGGTGTTAAAATAGAGATGTGTACACAAAGTAAAATAAGTATGATTTAGCTCTTCTTGAGAGATGTGTTGGGGAAGGTTCAGTTTAGTGTTTGAAGTTCCTAGGTAAAAAGTTTTATTGCAGGATTATCCCTACAGGTCTGATATGAACCTTGAAACTGCCCCCAATAGAGATATAGCTAACAGGCAAATATCCCATGGGAGGTATATATCAAGATAATGAGTTATACTAAATTATTTTTACTTCTTAGTATGAATTAATTTTCCTTCAGAAAATCAGCTGTTGATAGGTACAGAGAGACGAGGACAAGGCCTGGGGCGTTGCCTGCAGATAAAGGCCTGAGAGATAAGACCTTTTCTGGATCTCCCTTGCTTGAGGAGCAGATCTTGCAGTGGAGCTCAGAGGGACGTGGAGATGATTTTTTTTTAACATTCTCATTTTTAAAAGTCATGAAATGTTTCATGCATGCAGAAAATTATAGAAAATAATAAAAACAAGCACCGATGTACCGATCAACCAATGTTGTAAACTTGATATTTTGCCTTGCTTATTTGAGGTATTTTAAAGAAAAAATATAATGCCAATTGCATTGTCTTGAATATATCCCTCCGCTTCCTTCCCAGTGGTAACTGTTATTCGGAGTTTACCGATTTCTTCATTCCACTGACAAGGACACTGAGAACCAGAGAGGTTAAGCGACCTGCTCAAGGTCACATCTGTTGATGTCACATTTGGCACTAAAACTCAAGGTTCTTATCTTAAATCCAGACTCTCTTCATCTGCTCAGATCAGAGTAGATAGTAGTGCAGGGAGGAGTGGGCGATTCAAACCAAGGATGAACAGGGAGGTCAAAACAAATATAGGGTTATCCTGTTATGGGCTAAGTTTTTAAAATAAGGTATTTTATTAGGAGAAACCATATAAAATGGATATGTGGTTTTGCATTAGAATTTACTTTTGGCTGGTCGCAGTACCTCAACCTGTAATCCCAGCACTTTGGGAAGCCGAGGCGAGAGGATTGCCTGAGCCCAGGGGTTAGAGACCAGTCTGGACAACTTGGTGAAACCTTGTCTCTGCAATAAATCACAAAAACTAGCCGGGCGTGGTGGTGTGCATCTGTCGTTCCAGCTACTTGGAAAACTGAGGCGGAAGGATCGCCTAAGCCCAGCAGGTCGAGGCTGTGGTGGCTATGAGCATGCCACCGTACTCCAACCTGGGTGACAAGAGTGAGACTTCAACTCAGGAAAAAAAAAGGCAGAGAGTGGTACCTCATTCCTATAATCCCAGCACTTTGGGAGGCCGAGGTGAGAGGGTTGCCTGAGCCCGCAGGTTCGAGACCAGCCTGGGCAGCTTGGTGAGACCTCATCTGTACAATAAATCCCCCCCCCCAAAAAAAATTAGCCGGTCATGGTGGCGCATGCCTGTGGTTCCAGCTACTTGGAAGGCTGATGAGGAATTAACGCCTGAGCCTAGCTGGTCGAGGCTGCTGTGGCCAGGAGCATACCAGTGCCCTCCAACCTGGGTTACAGAGTGAGAGTCCAAAAAAAGAATTTACTTTCAAGTCAGTGCCACTAGCAATAGTTTAAAGATCTCTTAGTTATAGGCATCTATAAAGACTAACTTACCTTTGCCTGTATTTTCAGCCAGTGTCTTATTTTAAAGTTTTATCTAGGCTAATACAGTATTATATATAGTTCCTGTAATGTATAACATGTGGAATTATACAATACATGAATAACTTTTCAAAGGAAGTCATAAACTCTTCACAGGATGGTCTCTGTTTTAGGTGTAGAGCAATTTGGTCTCAGTGGATGGATCATAAGTCATAGTAAGGGTCTGAAACCATAGTAAGAGCAAACTTGTGCATATATGTACATATTCATTTATAGGCGTTTGCATATATATGTGTGCGCACATATGTGTGTAGGGTATACGTGTGTGGATATGTGTGTGGGTGTATATGTGGGTGTGTGTGTGTATATATGCTTGTGTAAATTGAAAAGTAAGCAGTTCGAATGATTCCTTTTACAGACAGACACCAAACCAGTGCAAATGATGAATATGGAAGCCACGTTCTGTATGGGAAACATCGACAGTATCAACTGTAAGATCATAGAGCTTCCTTTTCAAAATAAACACCTCAGTATGCTTATCCTACTACCCAAGGATGTGGAGGATGAGTCAACAGGCTTGGAGAAGGTAAGGAGGAGGCAGGTATCCTACAGGAAGGTGCCCCCTGCCACGACAGGGATCTGTGGGCTGTGAGAGGTGGGCTGGCTCAGTTACCTCCAAGGGTACCATAGTCCTTTCTGGAACCTTTCCTCCTTAATATTAAAAACAGACAACATTTATGTGACATTAACAATATGCCAGGAGCTCTGGTAAATTACACATGTGCATTACCACATTTAATTCTTACAACGGTTCTATGAGTTAGACCATTACTATACTTTTGTTTACAGTGACAGAATTGACGCATACGGGGTAGTTAGGTACCTAGTTTATAGTCCCATAACTAGTCAAAGGTATGCAAAATCAGGATTTGAGTCCAGAAGGCTGGGTGTCCTACCTTCTTGTTTTACCCCACCTGGGCCTCAGCCCTTGGCCAGGAAGGAAGAAAGGGCCTCTTTGAAGAGCCAGGGATCACTTGCTGAGTCTCTAATTGGGTCTCAGTTACTTCCTGACTTTCTGAGGGCCGATCTAACCTCGTCCCCATCTTACCTGTTACTTTAGTTGCCATTATGTTTTATCCATCACTTTATAGCTGAATGATAATTCCTGTCTTCATTTTTCTTTAATGTATGTTCTCTCTTTTTTTTTACTCCATTCCATGTTTTGATCTTTCAGCCATTATTCAACTGTCTTGGATTTTACTTTACTTAAAATATCCTGAAACAAGCACCATTTTTTTCCTTCTTCCTTAAGTACAGAACTAAAGAAAATGATCCTTTGTGTCTCAGAAAGGAATATTTAAGAATACATATTTTGCCGGACTTGGTGGCTCAGCCTGTAATCCCAGCACTTTGGGAGGCTGAGGCGAATGGATTGCCTGAGCCCGTGGCTTCAAGACCTGCATGGGCAACTTGGCAAGCCCTAGTCTCTAAATAAATAGAAAATTACCTGGGAGTGGTGGCGTGTGCCCATAGTTCCAGCTACTTGGAAGGCTGAGGCGGAAGGATCACCAGAGCCCAGCAGGTTGATACTGGGGTGGCCGTGTGCCACTGCACTCCAACCTGGTGACAGAGTGTGACTCCAACTCAAAAAAAAAAAAAAAGAATACATATTGTATTAATTTGTTAGGGCTGCCATAACAAAGTGCCACAAACTGAGTGAATGGAGAAATTTATTTTAAACAGAAATTTCTTTTCTCACAGTTCTGGGGGCTACAAGACCAAGATCAAGGTGTTGGCAGGAATGGTTGCTTCTGAGGAATGTGAGGGAGAATCTGCCCCATACCCCCTTCCTAATTTCTGGCAATTTTCTGGCAATCTTTGGTGTTCCTTAGCTTGAAGATGCTTTACCCCCATCTCTGTCTCCCTCTTCACACTGCTTTCTCCCTGTGTACGTCTGTCTCTGTGCCCAAATGCTGCCTTTTTTATGAGCACATGAGTCATACTGGATTAGAGCCCACTCTAAGGACCTCGTCTTAACTAATTACATCTGCAACGACCTTATTTCCAAATAATGTCAGATTCTGAGGTACGTCAGTTAGGACTTCAGTGTATGAATTGAGGAACACAATTCAATCTATGACACATATACAACTGAGGAAGGAAACTTTTTTTTTTTGAGTCAGAGTCTCACTCTGTTGTCCAGGCTGGAGTGCAGTGGCACGATCACGGTTCACCACAGCCTCGACCTCCTGGGCTCATGTGCTCCTTTTGCTTCAATTGCCTCAGTAGCTAGGAATACAGGTGCACACAGCCCACCCAGTTAATTTTTTATTTCTATTTTTTGTGAAGACAAGGTCTCACTATGTTGCCCAGGCTGGTCTTGAACTTCTGGGCTCAAGAAATCCTCTTACTTCAGTCTTCCTTAGTGCTGAGATTACAGGTGTGAGCCACCGGGACCCAGCCTTTATTTTCTTTTAATTGGCCATTTTAAGTTATAAATGCATTTTCTTCCTTCTTTCCACTCCCATGTGGTAAATAGACAAGAGAATTTACCTGTTGGCTCAAAAACTCTAGTTATGACAGTATTCCGGTCCTAATAATTTGTCCAAAACTTGGAACAGTAACCCCTGAAAAGTAATTATAAGAGATTAGTAAGAGAACCCAGTGGTTCTCTCCTTTGTTAAAAAACAAAACAAAACAATAAAACCAAAACACTGACAGTTTGGGACCTTGCTGTATCTCTGATTTTTGTAGGTTTCACATGAGTAATGGGGTGCAATATTGCTCCGCTGTAGTGAAGGTCAAGGTATTATCATTCTTGGTTGCACATATGTTTCTCCTCTAACCGGTGTGGAGATTGGAAGGGCAAGGAGCAGTTTAAGATTTGTTCAATAAAGAATTTTATGACAAGGTAATTTTATGCTTCATTGCATAGCTCTCATTTTTTAAGCCAGCTGAAATGGTTACATTCACCACTTATCTTAAAGAAGTACTCAGAGGCAGTTCAAGTTCCCATTTTTAAAAAAGAGTAATTTTAACTGTAATTTAAGTTGTTATATTTGATACCATGCCTAACACATGAATATTCTGATTTTCTCATGGGGAAATTATAATAAGCATTCAAGAAATATGTATAAAAACCTTTCTAATTTGATATTCATATCACTTTTGTGTATTCAGCCATTTCATTATTGTTTATGCAACATCATAATCCATGTGTTTGTTTCTGTAAGACTACTCTACAACAAAATCCCATCCTCATAAATTTCATTGTACAGAGAGCATTGTTTTAGGGTAGAGAGGAGAAAGACACAACTGGGTGACTGGTGAATCTTATAAGAAATACTAGTCACAGGGCAAACAAAACAGCTGGACCATTTTTTTTTTTTTAAGTTGGAGTCTCACTCCATCACCCAGGCTGGAGTGCAGTGGCATGCTCATGGCCACATCAGCGTCGATCTACTGGGCTCTGTTGATCCTTCCACCTCAATCTTCCAAGCAGCCAGTATTACAGGTGCGCAGTACCATGCCCAGCTAATTTTTAAAAATTCATCATAGAGACGAGGACTAGCCAAGTTGCCTGGGCTGGTCTCGAACCCATGGGCTCAAGCAATCCACTCTCCTTGGCCTCCCAAAGTGCTGGGATTATAGGCTGAGCCACCGAGCCCGACCTGGATCGTCTTTGATGGTTTATCCAGACTGCTTTGAAACTGGGCTTATAATAATACATTAAGTTTTTAAACAAGCAAAGTCTTTTGCAATTGGAAGTAAATAAAAATAATTTCTTTTTCTTCTTGTCCTTCAGATTGAAAAACAACTCAGCTCAGAGTCGCTGTTGCAGTGGACTAATCCCAGCACCATGGCCAACGCCAAAGTCAAACTCTCCATTCCAAAATTTAAGGTGGAAAAGACAATTGATCCCAAGGCTAGTCTGGAAAACCTAGGGCTGAAACATATCTTTAACGAAGACACATCTGATTTCTCTGGCATGTCAGAGACCAAGGGAGTGGCTCTATCAAATGTTATCCACAAAGTGTGCTTGGAAATAACTGAAGATGGCGGGGATTCCATAGAGGTGCCAGGATCACGGATCCTGCAGCACAAGGATGAATTCAATGCCGACCAACCATTTATTTACATAATCAGGCACAACAAAACTCGAAACATTGTTTTCTTTGGCAAGTTCTGTTCTCCTTAAGTGGCATAGCCTACCTTAAGTCCCCCTAACTTTTCTACGGATTCAGATTTTTGTAAACTCTACTTCTAGAGAATCACTTTCTAAATATAATACATTGCTAATGTTGCTGAATCAGGAAGCATTTGGTACTTGTCATAGGTAGCCCTAACACTAATAGACCCTCTGTTTACAATTCTTTCTTTTGTTTCCTTTTTCCCATAAAGGACAATGACATATGCTATTAATGAAAAGGAATCACCTTAGAGGGAAAATATTTATTTGTTATTTGTCAAACTGCTCAGGTTTGTTGGTAGAAATACAGTCTTCCACAAAGAAAATTACTATAAGAAAAATCTGATTCCCAGATCTATGACTTTCTTCCCCAGGATATAGAATGTTCTAGACATTCTCACTTCCCTGAAAAACTTGAGAAATTATAGCATATGGAATCCACAAAACTACCCTGGCTTCCTTGAAACTTGGGTACATTTTCAAACAACTGTAGGTCCAGAAGTTTTTGTTAAACCATGGGTGGCAGATTTGTCTTCAAACCCTGCATTTTTTGGGATTTTAGAAACATAATATGTTGCACATACTGTATGTTATGGAACTCCATTAATAGAGTCTGGAACAACATGCTATAAATCAACACCTTAATATTTCTGCAACAAAATTAGAATATTCACACAAAATAGATAAATAAAGATTAAGTAGTTCTTAAGTTGTCAAATTTTATTGCCAAATGAGTATGCCACCAGCTTATGAAAACATTTTGAGCCGAGCTCGGTGGCTCAGCCTGTAATACCGTGCCTTTGGGAGGCTGAGGTGAGTGGATCGCCTGAGCCTGCAGGTTCGAGACCTGCCTGGGCAGCGAGACCTCATCTCTACAATAAATCAAAAAAATCAGCCGGCGTGGTAGCACATGCCTGTAATTCCGGCTTCTTGGAAGGCTGAGGCGGAAGGATTGCCGGAGCCCAGCAGGTCGAGGCTGCGGTGGCTGGAAGCGGCCACTGCACTCCAGTCTGGGGGACAGAGTGAGACTCCAACTCAAAAAAGAAAAAAAAAAGAAAACATTTGTTTGCAGGACTTTTTAGATTGTGGAATGTTGGATAAGGAATAGTAAGTAGCTGAAGTGCGAGACCCCAAGGGGGGGGATTTTAGATCTTACCAAAAAGTGACTTTCACTTTTGATAGGTGACTTTCACTTTTGATAGGTGTCCCACCTAGTAATTTGGTTGGCACTGGACTGGTGGCAGGGGCTTCTAACTCACTCATGAGGTTTTGCATGTCTGTTGCCAGGAACTTGAAACGTATAGGGGCTCTCACAATAGCCAGTGAAAAGAATTGTGAACATTGAAGGAACTTCTCTTTGTCTAATCTGATGGTGGAGAAAGGAAAGCAACCTAAGTAAAGCTATTACCGTGTTTATGCTGCCTTGATATGCAGTTTTTTCCCCAAAATCTATGGGTTTAGCTACTTTAGAGAGCAAGTTTGTAACTTACATTAATAGTAATGTGTAAAGTTGGTCTGATAAGTTATCCGTGTCGCTGGTTCATGTATTAGTTCACTACCAAAAGGATATATTTACTGAAAATGTTGTGACATTCCTTCCCCCATCTCTTCCTTGTCCTGCTTTGTAAATAGGTTCTCCTTGCTCCAAGTTTCAATACTGAATTTCTCCTATGCTATTGACAATAAAATGTTATTGAACTACATGCCTTGTTTTTCTCACTAAGTTAGATTTACTATTTTGAAATAGAACCAAATGTATTGCTGTATATAAATGCATTTTTGAGAAATTTTGTAGTCTAAAACAGAGTAAGAATCATTACTATCCCTTTTCCTTTTCTTCCTGGCCATCAGTTCTTGCTTCTTCCCCCAACATTTTTTCATCCTAGGGAAGAAAGGACCAGGGCAGTGCTGAAATGAATTTTGAGCATGCAACAATGTAGAGGCCTTGCAGGAGGACATGGATATTTTCTCCAGTCCTTTTTACTCAAAAAGTAATTTTATTAGGTAAGCTGTGTATGCTTAAAGCACTGTCTTGTTAAGAGCATTTTTTTTCTCAATGCCATATACGTTTGTTTAAAATTATTTATGGTGTTTCTCAATATTTAACATAGCCCTTCTGTCCCTATGCTCTGCTTGAAATAAATATATCTCCTTTTGCAATAAATGTTGAGCACAAACGGTAAGAAACACCTCCGCATCCTGAAAAGACAAGAAAAGACCATTTGGGCAGGATTTCTGGGGTGGCCACAGCCAGTTTTTGCCACTCCTGGCTCATTATCCTTCTTCTCTAGAAAATATGGGATAATTGCAAAAAAAGGTTAGTGAATATTTAGAGGAGGGGGAGATGAGTGCCTCTTTAAATTAAGAGTGCAGAGACCTTAAAGTATCCCCTGGAATTTGGAAAAAAACTGAAATTTGTGGTCATCTCTTACCTGGAATAGTCTAATCCAGTGGTTTTTAATAAGGGGATGTTCTGCCCCCTAGGGGACGTTTTGATTGTCACAACCGGGTGCCATCTGGCATGTAGTGGGGTAGAGGCCAGAAATGCGACTAAATGTCCTACTATGTCCAGGACAGCCCCTGCAGCAGAATTATTTAACCCACAGAGACAATAGTGTGAAGATCGGGAAATGCAGAACAGATGCTAGGGCAGGGGTCCCTCAGGTAGGGGGCAGAGGAGAAAGAGCTGGAGAGGAAGTGGAGGAGGAAAGATGTCTGCCGGCTGCTAGCTGACATTGAGATGTGAAAGTAGCCAGGTGTGGTTATTTTGAAGGAGACTCTGCTCTGGGGTCTGTCTAGTGAGGGTGTGGGGTCTTCAAAGAACCCACAAGAGTACTGGGAGAAAAAGTAAACATCTGACAGCTCTCACATCCAAGAGTAGATTACTGGATAACAATGGCACCAGTCGTGGAAGGTGTCTCTTCTCCTTCCCCCACCAGTCTCATATGGAGACTGCTTCCCCCACCAGTCTCATGTGGAAGAGGAGGAGAGAGGAAGGGTGAGGTGGGTGAATGAGAAGAAGCCCACCTCTTCTCCCGTTCCCCTGTGGGTCAGAGAGCCAGAGTCAGACCCTCGCTGTGGTGGGTGGCGAAGCTTTAAACCACAAGAGAGCCATTGCTTTGTTAAACTGTGGTGTGTCCGCAAGGCTCTCTCACTGCCGCCATGTTTCTTAGCTTTGGTCCCCTACCCTACTTTGGGGAGATGAATCTCTCTCTCTCTCTCTCTAATTTACTTTTTAAATAAACTGTATTTTCCAATCTAACTTCGGTGCAATTATTTGCATCTTTCACATGACACCAGATCACATACACACCTCACATTGGGCCTGACCTAACACTTTGGAGGTCCTACTGGGAGTGTTACCTAACATTTTTGGAAGTCCCACCTAGATCTACCACACTCTTGTAGTCTCTGTCACTCTTCTCTTTCTCAGCCTGAGTCTCTCTCAACAAACAAACAACCAACAAAGAAACAAAGACCACAAGAGAGACTGAAGTTCTGATGGGAAAGAACTCTGAGATTTTTCGTCTCTGAAAACGTCTTTATTGATATATAAAAGTGGCTGGAACAGCTCTATTCTGGGGGACTCAGTCTAGTCAAGAGGAGGATGCAACAGAGTGGGTTCAAAAGGGCCTTGGGAAGGAAGAATTCAGGGGCATTTTGCTAGCACCCTGTCCAGGCCAGCTCACTAGTAAACTGGGCCCAGAAATATCATCTCATTTCATCTTCTCTGCAAATACTTAAGGGGAAAATCATGAGCCTGTCTTATAAATGAGGATACCTAAATACGGAATAGATAATCAACTCAAGGTCACAGAGCTAATGAATGTTGATGGCTGGATTTGAACTCATATGCGAATGGAGTCTAGAACTAGATCGCTTAATCTCTGTACTTGAAACCACCACTTTCTAACTGGCAGCAATCCTTGACAAATGGACACTAAAGACACTTGAAAGAATTCCTCTATCTTCTATAGTTTCCATATTTAGGAGTTCCCAAATATTTGTCTTATCTTTGCAGCACTTTTATGGTCAACCAACACATCTCCAGAGTCACACAGTTCACCACCAGTAATGGGTCCAATGACTTCCTTTGCTTGTTCTCATAATGACTCTAGAATTAGAGGCTATGCCTATCTATCTCATGAGAAAATAGGGTTCAACAGAATTGGATAATGCCTCCACGTTGGTAAAAAGCAAGGCTTGGCTATGACTGTAACTCTTTCTGACCTCAAAGGCCAGACTTCTTCCACTGTGACTCATGGCCTTTGGACCACACATTGGGGCTATATCTCTTCAGATGGCTTTACTTCAACTTGTGCATCCCATGTGACCCCTTGCCACTCAATATTGCCAAAGCAATCAATTTGTCCTTGCCTTTCAGGAAACAAAACAATACAGAAAAGCTCTTGGCCAGACTCTGTGCTGGTCCCTACCGGAATACCAGGAGTAGCAAGATCTCTGAGCACATTCATGTAACCAGCACACAGATCAAGAGCCTTAGACACACCCTTCCCCACCGATGTCCATTTCTAGTCATCATTCAAGTCACTCCTCTCCAAGGGGAACCAGTGTCTTCTAACAACACACATACACTATCTTTTGCTTACTTTTGTATTTTATATCGATGCAGTCATATGGCATGTTATCCTTCCTATTTGTGCAAATATCATCCTTATTCTTGCATGTAGTTCTAGGAGATCATTATTTCTTCTTCTTTTTTTTTTTTTTTTGAGTAGGAGTCTCACTCTGTCACCCAGGCTGGAGGGCAGTGGCGCACTCCTGGCCACTGCAGCCTTGAACTGTTGGGCTCACGTGATCCATCAGCCTCAGTCTTCCAAGTAGCTAGAACTATAGGTACATGCCACCATGCCCAGCTAATTTTTTGATTTATTGTAGAGATGAGGTCTCGCCAGGTTGCCCAGGCGAGTCTCGAACCTGTGGGCTCAGGTAATCCTCTCACTCGGCCTCCCAAAGTACTGAGATTATAGGTGTGAGACACCGTGCCTGGCTGGAGATCATTATTTCTTATTGCTATACACTCTTCCATCAGTTGTGAATATATCACACTTTATTTATCCATTCTACTCTTGATGGACATTTGGGTATTTCCAGCTTTTGGTTATT